CCAGCCATTCATTCATTCCTGCGTGAGCCATGCGGAAGCGCTGCCATAGCGACTTGTGCGAGGTGGTCTGCAGTGAGCCCGAGGACGAAGTGGGCGAGAAGAAGCTTAGCCACAGCGATAGGGTAGCAGCGGCCATAGCCGCCATAGCTGTAGATGTGTGCGGGTGTGTGTGAGTGTACAGAGTGTGTTGTGTGTGGGGTATCCAGGGTGATCCTGCGTGCGAACAGCAGTGTCGAGTGAGTGACGAACAGAGAGTTGTATAGGCGATGTGCCGCCATAGCCAGTGGAAATGAACTTGAACAGAGAGTTGTATACGCGATGTGCCGCCATAGCCAGTGGAAGTGAACTTGTATCTGAACTGAGTTCTTGGTACTATATCTCTGAGTTCTGAGTGGACGCTTGACGCCAGTTTGCTGCGCAACCTGTTTGCATACATGTGAGGTGTGAATGAATGCGAGTCTGATTGCACTACCAGCTGGACCGCAAGGGTCACCCTATTTTCCCGGCCGGCAGGCCGTGCAAGGCCCAGGGAAGGTCCTAGCAAAAAAAATCAAAAAATCAAAAAAATCCTGAGTGGGGATCCGGGCTGCCCGGGTGACCGGCAGGGGCCCTGGGGAGGTCCCGTGCGGCCTGGCCGGGCAGGGCACCCGCTTGGGGGCCAGGGCCCCCCAGCGCACTCACCTGTCGGGGGATTTCGGACCCCCTTTGTGTGTGTGGGTGTGTGTGTGTGGGTGTGTTTTAGATTTTCCCCACAACAGCCCCAATTCCACCCAGGTGAATAGATTCAGAATCAAAGCAGTCTTTATCCTATTGCAGACAACGAGAGCATTTGARATGTCCAACATATTAAAGCAAYWTTATAATTAGACAGTTTTTTGGTTGTTCTTGGGGTACCCCTTTCATTGTTCTTGCAGCTCCCCTTTTACTGTGCCTCTTATGCGCAAGGCTGCCCACGTTGATTGTGGTTGAGCGGCAGCTGCCCACATCCCCGTGTGCCTCCACGGCCCACTTGCACGTCATTTCAGGAGGCAGAGTAAAAGGGAAGGGATGCTCCTGTGCATCTCTTCAGAGCTTCATACTCCTGTCCATTTCATTTCAGATCTTCAGCTTATACAGCCTCAGATCTTCAGCTTATACAGCCTTTGTGTCCTCCGTCCTTCATCTTCATACTTCCGTTCATTTCATTTCTGATCTTCATATCGTCTATACTCTTAATGATGCTCATTCGTATGTATTTGTTAGTAGTACAAAGGGAGTGGAGGGGAGGGTGGAGGGTAAGGGATAGAAGGCGGAGTTCTCTAGGAGTATGGGGCAGGGGAGGTAGGGGCAACGGGAAGGAAAGAAATGTGTGGAGGGCAGGATAGAGTGACATGCAAGAGCAGGGGAAAGGTGTATGACGGGTCTCACAGATTTCTAAATATTCACTGCTGTGAGTGGCCACCCCTACAGACTGGACAGGACCGGTTCTGGTGTGGGCTATGGAAGCACCGCATCCAATTTTCGCAGTCACAGTTGCTGCATCGAATGGCACGGCGCAGACAGATGTCACAGTCTACGTGGATCGTACATGCTAGGAACACAGGCACGTCGACCGCAATTATAGAGGCATTGCCGTTCCAGACCCTGTCTACAAATTGGACATGACATGTCCGGGTGCCGTACATGAGTACAGTACTGACTGTCATCGTACGTATGGAAGCAAAAACTCACATGGACTATACCTTCATAATCCTCACGGAACAAGGCATGTGAACCACATGCTAGTTGAATCTCCGGCGGGTCATCACAAAACGGCATGGAGCATCTTTCTTGGGCTTCCTCAGTATGTATTCCTTCTCTGTGGGCAGACAACGACAGGGAGGATCGGTCCAACGCAAGGGCATTCAGCTGCTGCAGGATATGATCCGCAACAGCCCGCCCTGGCGGTGATAAACTATGAGCACATCGCTCTGCCGGTGGCTCCTATAGAAGTCGATTTTCCTCCTCGGACTGCTGTGTTCACCGTTCGTCTGGCAAGAAAGAGGGAGATCTGTCAGCGGTTGCCGTAGGTATATGACCAACGCCGCATGTGGGACATGCTAGGAGGACAAAACATATGGTGGCGTATTATTCCACGTTCTGCAGAAGATTCATTCTAATTTTGCACATTTCGTGAGTAGTGCAGCCAAGCCCTAAGAGTCACGTGCAGAGACCAACAGGGCCTAGCTACGTGAGCAACCCATAACTGCTGAAACACAGACCTGAATTCGAATCTTGAGTATATATTCGGACAGCTCGTGCTCTACTTCATATTCACTGCCTGCCTCGATTTTGGTGGGGGGGTCTGCGCTACATGGCTGCGAGGACCCTTCAGATAGCTGCATGGGCTGTCTGAACCGTGTTAAGGGGATCCGTTCTCTCTCTCTCTCTCTCTCTCTCTCTCTCTCTCTCTCTCTCTCTCTCTCTCTCTCTCTCTCTCTCTCTCTCACCCCCTTGTATACACACACACCCCTTACAAAAAAAAGAAAAAGAAAAAAACAAAACCAAAATTTTATTGCAGATTCGGGGTAGTCTCGCCGAGCGCAGAACGACCCCGGTTTCAATATAGATATATATATTTCTGGGCAGTTTTTTGCCCCGTCCGGTTTACCCACTCAGATGTTATGCAGAAAAATAAACTGAACAACTTTTACCTCAGGGTCACTTCGAAATTCTTTACCAAATTTGAATGTATATATATCGTGACAAACAGAACTGCCCGGTAAACCGTAGGCAGAGAGAGAGAAGAGGACAACAAACGAGGGGCTGTGACAAACTGTTTCGTCGGAGTTTCACCGACTCATCAGGAGGCTGAACCCTCAACAGTCTGCAGAATCCCCTCACTGATTACACTGTAAAAGATAATCTACCTTAACCAAAATCGAAGTACACTATCACTCACCCACACCAGATGGAAAACTCTACAGACTGTCGGTTCACACCCCATCACAAGCCAGCAAAATATATATATATTATTATTATTACTTTTTGGCCCGGCCCGACAACTGGCCCCGGGCCACTCTGGTAGCCTAGTATATTATGTATATATAGTCAAACAGAGCTGCCCGGTAAACCGTAGGCAGAGAGGGAGAAGAGGACAACAAACGAGCGGCTGTGGCAAACTGTTTCGTCGGAGTTTCACCGACTATATATAATATACACTATATTATATATCATATATATACACTATATAGTATATATGGGTTCAGCCTCCTGATGAGTCGGTGAAACTCCGACGAAACAGTTTGTCACAGCCCCTCGTTTGTTGTCCTCTTCTCTCTCTCTGCCTACGGTTTTACCGGGCAGTTCTGTTTGTGACGATATATATCGTATATATACTGTCTCTTATACACATCTAGATGTGTATAAGAGACAGATATAGTATATATGGGTTCAGCCTCCTGATGAGTCGGTGAAACTCCGACGAAACAGTTTGTCACAGCCCCTCGTTTGTTGTCCTCTTCTCTCTCTCTGCCTACGGTTTTACCGGGCAGTTCTGTTTGTGACGATATATATCGTATATATATATATTTTTGCTGGGTGCCGACGACCCCCTACCGGTATGTGCCGACCAGCTGACCAGTCGGCGGGTCGGCAGCCGGCCAGTCAAGGGTCGCCGAGGGTCAGGGTGTGCAACACTGTCCAGTGTCCAGGTGTATTAAAAAAAAAAATAATAATAATAATAAAATGAACAGTTGCTTTGACAGAAAGCTGAAAGGAGAAAAATAAACTAGAGATCCAGCAACGAGCGCACTGAAACATGGCATAGACAAAGAAGACTAATCAATCACATGTCAAGTGATGACCAAAAGCATGATGTCGACGATATCAACGATGCAAAAGAACTTTAAAGTGAATGAATGCCTTTCGGTGATGAGAAGCCTCATTTTCTTCAAAGTTCAAGATTGACCTCACTCACATAGCCCCACGCACACACAAAACAAATAAAAACAACCGAATGTCTTGGCAGGACAAAGGCACGTTCTTCAGAGTTCAAACAATGCAGCAAAGTGGACAACTGCAATCCAAAAGCGAACAGGACCTTTAAACCACCACTGTCCACCAGTACTTCCTAAAGCTGTGCCCGTGTACAAGCCATGGTTTGTACGGGCCACTACAGGAGCGCCCAAATTCATCCAATTAGAAATGTTTCTATTCCGTATTCTTTTCCGCGGCCCATACCTGGGCCAAGTACTGGTGGTTTAAGGAACGGCCCTAGCACACAAAACCAGCATGTTTCAAAGTTCCATACAATGTATCAAGGTCGACAAGAACAATTCCGAATATGGCACAACTCTAAGAACGGTCACACACACACACACACACACACACACACACACACACACACACACACACACAACACTACCCCCAACAAACACACACATGTGCGCACATATGATCGCTCTCACACCTACACACAGCTACCTACATAGACAGTGAGCCACCCACACACACACACATCTACACCCACACATGCAGAAGTACACACACAAGCACACATGTACACACACACACACACACACACACACACACACACACACATGAATGCACACTCACATCCACACTAACACCCACACACCCACCCACACACACACACACACAGGCACCCCCACCCACAGGCACCCACTCCCACACACGCACACACAGACAAACACAGACACATGTACACACACACCCACAAGTACACAGTACTACCCACACAGAGGGATAACCATGCTTAGGACCCACACACACACCCCTTACTCACACACAGTGCCACACAAAGACGCGTAGTATCTCTGCAAGCAGACGACCCCAGAGACTAGAGTTACAGGAGCTTGCACAGCTACACCATAGCCAGAGGGAAAACAGAATGTCAGTGCCAACTCTGTAAGCATGCTGCTGTAAGCTTTTCCAATATAGACATGCCCCAGAAAACAGAAACCTGGTCAGCATTTGAAGCACGCTTGTGAAAGTCTCGGCATCCACACAGCAGAGCTCACCATGATAGCTGCTTGGTAGGCCCGCGCCATCTCTCGCCGTCTGTCTTCAGCCGACAATTGCACTTGAGGGGCCGCATCCACTTTCTTGTCGACTTGTTCCTGTTTTTCCTCCTCCTGTGGTGCCCCTTCAGGCATGGGAACCAAATCCGGGGCCAGCTTTGCAATTTCCTGCCTGCATTTCAAGTCCAAATCGGCAAACTGAAGGAGAAGACTTCGAATCAAATCACTGACCTCCGACTTCCCCACTTCCACCTTCCCCACATTATCCATCGTTTGCGGCCCTACCCGTGCAGCACTAACACCCCGTCTTTGCATGAGAACCACCATCAACGACAGCAAGCTGTGCTTTGTCTTCGCTGGGCAATCGTCCTGGACCTCCCCATGAGTCTGCATGGGCCCTTCATCCATCTCCGCTTTTTGATGTGCACGCAGCAGAAGAGGAACACTCCTACAACTCGAATCCCGTTCAAATTCAAACGCCCCCTTGCCTTTGTGTCCAAGAACCACCCAATTTCCGTCCTCTAGCTCGCTCTCTTCATCTCCTTTGACCTTGCAAACATCAAGACCAAGTGCCAGCAGTTGCAATGCAGCAAGGAGAACACCCTCTGGTGCGCGACTCCCTGGGTCTGATTGCCCAATGACTGCATGGTGCAAAACTGACCGAATAATGTCATGTACACATTCAGTGGTAGCAATACGACCAAGATTCTCAAATGGAGGGTATGGTTCTTTCCACTTAGGCAGCTGAGTTGTCGCAGCTGACACCTTGTACACGCTTTGGTAGCGATCCTCGACTAGTTGCAACTCACGTGGGCTCCACCTTGGGTGAAACAGATCTAGCTCCTGCCAACACTCCTGACGCAGAGTATATTTTCCCTGAGCCAACAAACACATACAAGTGGACAAAATCAAGCATTGCGTTCTCAAAACACACTGCACAGCATACGGAACTATAACGACTTACATACATACACAGTTGTAACAACTCCAGCAGCAACCACTTTCCCTCCCCCGCTTCCCTCTCCAACCCCTCATGTCGCATGGATGATCTAAGTTCAACCTTCTCCATGATTCAAGACTTTGATCCATTTCTCCCCCTCCTTTGTGTGTCAACAATTCGAGACGAAACATTAACGCCACATCATCTGCTGAGCTTCCAGATTCTCCACCTCAATGTTATCTTCCTTTCTTTCATATGTTTGACTTCAGCATCCACTCACACCACCTATTACATACCTCTTGACTGTGACATTTCAACACGAAGCATTCAATTACATCACCTGTAACATGCCTTTGGGCTGTGGAATGTCAGCAGCAAGACTATCACGACAGCATTCAACGACATTGGCAGTCATATTCAATTGTCAAAATGAGATCTGTAACATTTGACTGTTACATACCTTTTGACTGCGACGTTTCCACACGGATCAACTTCCACGACTAACCAGGAGGGACAACCCGACTTTCCAGTCAGTCAATGGGAAGTATGCCACACAGGAGGCCCTTTTTCCTTTTCTTTTCATTTTTTCTTTCTTATAAATGGAAGCTGCCTTCTCCTCATATGGGGGATGGCTGCATTTAATATGCTTTTTTGAAGTTTTTTCTTCTCTCAGTATTTTCCCGTCCCACACAGCCTACCTAGGGCTGCATTTACTATGCTTTTTTCTTCTCTCGGTATTTTCCCGTCTCACATGACCTACCTCGGGCTATGTACTCGAACTGGTCTACCCACCTTTTCGACCTACTAGGGGCACGGCAACCCAACCAGCAAGGAAACCAGCTCCACGTTCGAAGGCCAACTACAGGATTTAGGGCCAAAGAGTACAACAAGGCCAGCTACACTAAGCCCTAAAAGTGCCAAAGTGGTGGTGTTTTTTTTTTTTTTTTTTTTTTTTTTTTTTTTTTTTTTTTTACCGGCAAGTCAAGACATCAACATCAAAGACACTCACGCTTCCTTCCATCTGGCCGAAAGAACCCTGATCAGCATTGATTGCTCCCTCAGGGAGGATTGACTGTCAGCTTGCCATTCTCAAGACCATTGCTCCTGATGTCTATACTAAGAACCTATCAGCTGGGTAGCCAGAGTTGGAACCACGGTCATTGCCTGGTTTACCATTTTCACCCTGCTGGATCATCAGGGGTTCAGGATTTCTCTTCGAGAAAAGCGTAACCTGCCGAGCTGTTGGGGACTATGGGATGTATCGGCTCTTCCCCCAGGGGTGGCCCGCCCCTACGTCGACCCCTTCAATCTTTTGAACAGTTGCTTGCAGATTCGCCTATCGGACCTCATGCCGGTTGCCTGGTTCTTGCCTTCCCTGCAGCATCTGCTCTGTAGGTGTTATGTAGTATGATAGGATCCCAATCATTCCAATGTGTGGCTATCTTTTCCATGAAGTAACCGCTCCCTGATAAAAGTCTTCTTTGTGAAACACTGATCGATACTCGTTGCCCGGCGTTTTGGATACTCTGCCACTGGTATCCGATCACCGTCTCCACCATCTGTGTGGTGGAGCTCCAAGCTTGTTCTTTGTCTATTTCGGCGCCCTCAATCGTCACGGGACACCCCTGTTTCCAGATGCTCCGCAGTGTGGCCTTTCGTAGCAACGTAAACCAGGTTGTGGAAGAGCCTCTGAGGTAAGCAGGGATTCGGATGGCCAAAAGGATGGGTAACAGGGATGTAGGAAGTGGGATGGTGAAATAAGGGGGAACCATAACTTTGTCGCCCTTGACCGATCCAGATGTGCAGTTGGACACTTCACCAGGCAGTGGACGATGTCCTCTTCGTTACAAGTCGCCATCCATTCGAACGCCTCCCATGCAAATATCATGCACCAAACGAACATGAGACATCCAGAGCATACTGACATGAACTGTCCCAGATGTACCTGACTGCCATGGAGGGCAGATTCAGTTCACAAAGTCCTATTGTCCGTCAGTATGTGCTTAAGACAACTTTGTGGCCGTGAACACCACTGTGCTACCGACCCGCAGCGTCCTCTCTCATAAGAGTGCAAAGACAATTGAAGAATATGACGTCTAGTTTTCCTGCCATTTTTTGTATTTCTACTCGACTTTAAGAGGTAATTTTGTGCCCAAGGATTCCACACACGATAACCATGGCATCTCTCGTGAGAGCATGAGGAAAATTACAGCATACCTTACATATTTTCCCTGGCATTTTGGATTTTGCTCCGTCTACCGTACGTATTGTGCCTGGCATTTTGGATTTCGCTCCGTCTACCGTACGTATTTTGCCAGGCATTTTGGATTTCATGCCATCTTTGACATTAGTTTTGTAGCTGATGATTCCGAAAATGATAACCAGATACACTGTATCTACTTCTCCTCGCAGTTTGGATTGCCACTGTCGTCGGAGGTTGTTTTGTATTCAAGTATTCCAACCACCATAATAACAGGCCTATACAGAGCAACCACAAGATGACTGCGAACAAGTGCCTAAGCCTTTGTATTTATTTATTGGTTGCCCAGGCCTTTGCTTTGGCGAAGAAGTGGAAGAAATGAAGGGTACACAATGAAAGAAAGTAGACAAAGGAGATGCAGTACCCCGCTCAGGGCCACACACAGGCCGCGACCCCAGTCTGAGGCCACAAAGGCCAAGGGGGAGGAAACCCCAAGTTAGCTCAGGGCCTGTGCACCCGACAGTTGACTACGGTCAACTGCCCAGCGGCCCAAACGTCAGTCTGCATGCACCCAACCCAGGCCGCCGGTCAGACACGCACTTGTTTGTATGCAGGTACCAGGACAGCATTCGGACCAAGTGGAGATCCAGGCCTTCGGCTGTGAGTCAATCTGAGCCACTGTGGGCAGGATACCTGAGGCCGGTCAGCCTCGTCAAACAGTACATAAGGCCTGGCCTTCAGGGAGTCAGCATTCAGTCTTGCTATGCTGCCTTGACGCTGGCTTGACGCTAGCTAGACGCTGGCTTGACGCTGGCTGGACGCTGGCTTGGCGCTGACTGTGCGCTGGCACGGTGGGCAACGACGCGAGACTGCTGCTCCACGCTGGCCCCTTCTGCATCGGCCCCAGCCTGTGCTGACGTGGCACAGGGCCACGCTGTCTTCAACATTGCTGATGTGGGGCATACCAGTCTGTGTTCTTTGCTGACGTGGCAATTGCCACACTGTCTACATTGCTGAGTGGGACGCGACAAGGAGGGAGATCAGGATCTGTGGATGATTGAGAGGAATCAGGATACTTACCTGAAGTCGATGTCGATACTGTGCGCTGCTGATTGTCTCCAACGACTTCCTGTGCCACGTGGCACTTCGATGTGATCAGGATTCGTCAGGCTCCTTACTGGATACTGTTTTGCTGACATGGACGCAGGGAAGCCCGGAGAAGGAGTGGGAAATGTTGGGCAACTCTCTTTGTGGTCATTGATGGTTACTATCTCTTCCACCTTATATTCTGTCTATTCCCACTCCACTATCTTCGTCTACTTGGAACTATACATTGTATCAGAGATCACACTTATGATTATTGGAGACATTGTTCAGAGTTGAGTTACTTTGTATTTCAACATCTGGCGAGTATCTTACAGACTGGGTTCATTACAATTTGGTATCAGAGCATACCTTCTTCGTCGCTATCTGCTGTCAGGCGCCACGTGGCCCCCAGGTAAGTGGGAGATGCCACGCGTGAAAGGAGAGAAACGCGTTTATTAAAGAGCACGATTACTACCGAGAGCCTAGACATTGATTTCCACGCGCGTGCGCACATTCCATTGAAGATGATGACGTGAACACCGTGAAGACGGCGACATTGCTTATGTGGCGCTTTGTCGCTGACCTGGCAAGATACCGGCGAGAGCATCGTTGGCAGCAGGATGACATGGTGCTGGTGAGAGAGAGAGTGGGAATCGAGATAGCTGACATGGCCCGCCGCTTACATGGCATAGGACAGGGGTGCTGACGAGGCATCCTAGGATTGGCAGGGTATTGTCTGACGTGCCATGTACCTGTGTCGGAACTTACCTGCTGACTTGGCGCTCCACTCTCCAGCGGTACTACTTCGATCTGACGTGGCATACGAGTGGTGGATGAGTTGGCAGTTCGGGCATTGCTGACGTGTCATCCCACCAGAAGGCCGTGCTGGCTCTTGACGCTGACGTGGCACATGTGCTGCATCAGCATTCCAGGGGTGTCACGTGGCATGCTTTGCATGCTGCCGTGGGTGAGGTGTTGATACTTGCACTTGTGTACTGGCAGGTGGTACAGCTTCACGATAGTGCCATGTGCCGGTCCTTGTGTCTGGCTGCATTGGTTCTGCAGATGGTACAGCCGTAGAGGAAAGAATGCTGACAATTGATTGTTGTTGATTGTCTTGGCTGACATACTCACTTGTCCGGCTGTTCTGTGGTTGCTGTGCATACTCACCTGTGTTGCTGTGTCTTGATCACACTGGCCGTGGCTGCGGTACCTGTCACTAGGACGTCATCACACATAGAACAGAGCAGAAGTTAGAAATAGGAGTAAATTGAAATTTGTTCCTTCTTTTGTTATTTTCTTTCTTGCTGTAGTAGAAAACCAGATGTGGCCGTGGAATTTATTATTGTCTTGTAATTATTTATTGTGCAGCAGACACATCTTGCAAAAATGTCTTTCATCTGGAAAAGTTTGAGCGCTTCCATTCTCACCAGATTTATACCTTTCTTCTTCTATCCCATCACTCTCACCTTGTTCGCTGATGAGGAGGAGGGAGTGTTGCGGACCCGTGGTCAAACTGATGAGAGACGGCAGCTAATGCTGACTCGACTTCGTACTTTACTCGCTGAGGTACAGAATGCTGGCCCTGAAGCTGGACAGCATATAAGCAGCTTGTTCGATCTGCGCGCTGCAGAAACCGAACTACAGGAA